GCTCAAAAACAAACATGTATGCGTTTGCATACATGGGGGCCATAGGAGCCCCCATTGAAGTTCCTGTCTGTTGTATATAGAATTTTGTTTCAAATCTAAAATAATTCAAAGTGAGGCATATATCGTACAATGCTTCAAAATTACACTGACAATAATTTGCTATATAACTGAGTTAATATTTAGCTAATGACGATCTGTACTATGTATCTATGTTCCCTTGGTTAGGGTTCAAACATTTGTATATACTTTATTTTTATAGTTATTTATCTTTTATTATTTTCTGACTTATCTACACGAGAGTATGTTTCACATACTGGTTACACATAGGGTTAACTTCAATTTATTACGTAATTCAAACATGTTTACGTCATTAATGACATCACTCTGATCCGGTGTTACATTTCACCTGTTCACCTCCAAATAGGATCACTGCATTTTTTGTATATAAGGTATCCATCTCACATCCACAATTGTCTTGAAAAAAGTCTTTTACAGACTGAAACGTCGACTGGAACGTTGTGTGAATTTGTAATTGCTCAATAAAGCAACAGATGAAATTTACCTTGAAAGACTCCTGAGTGCTCTCTACTGGTATCGTATGTATTAAGGCAGTTTTGCCTGTATTTGTGGGAGGGGCTTAAATTAATTCACTCCCCTATATAAGGGACACCCCTTACCTGACTCATATCGCTTGAGGTCAGCATCAGAATGATTTCCACTTCCGGGTCATCCAGACGCCATTTTACCTGATTACTCCATGAGGTTTTCTAAGCAGAGCTGTGTCAGGAATCCAGCCACAGGCTTTTCCGGCCTACCACCTTCTTTCTTCAATCCATCGCCGTGGATGGTGTCCAAGTGACTCACAAACAGTAAGTCGACCTACCCGTTACGCCAGGCATCAGTCCCACGGCACCATGCACGGGTCAGGTCCTCACTTTACGGCTGCATTTTGTCTATGTCTGTTCTAAAACCATTGCATGTTCATGCATATCATTCGTTTAAACCCCCTACCGGTCTTTGGGTGTACTACAGGCTTCTTAGACATTATTGCATTTCATGTACAAACCAACGAACCACTGCATTTTCGCCTACACACTGACCCCTACCGGTCTTTGGGTGTACTACAGGCTTTTTAGACATTATTGCATTTCATGTACAAACCAACGAACCATTGCATTTTCGCCTACACACTGACCCCTACCGGTCATTCGGTGTACTACCGGCTTCTCAGGCATTTTTGCATTTCATGTAAAAAACCAACCAAACACCGCATTTTCACCTACACACTGACCCCTACCGGTCATTCGGTGTACTACCGGCTTCTCAGGCATTTTTGCATTTCATGTAAAAAACCAACCAAACACCGCATTTTCACCTACACACTGACCCCTATCGGTCATTCGGTGTACTACAGGCATCTTAGACGTTTTTTGCATTTTCATGTACAAACCAATAAACCACCTCATTTTCACCTACACACTGACCCCTACCGGTTTTTGGTGTACTACAGGCTTCTTAGACATTATCGCATTTCATGTACAAATAAACGAATCACTGCATTTGCACCTACACACTGACCCCTACTGGTCATTGGGTGTACTACAGGCTTCTTATTGCATTTCATGTACAAATCAACGAATCACTGCATTTGCGCCTACACACTGACCCCTACCGGTCATTCGGTGTACTACGGGCTTCTCAGACATTATTGCATTTCATGTATAAACCAACATACCACTGCAATTTTCACCTACACACTGACCCCTATCAGTCATTCGGTGTACTACAGGCTTCTTAGACGTTTTTGCTTTTCATGTACAAAACCATAAACCACTGCATTTTCACCTACACACTGACCCTTACCAGTCATTCAGTGTACTACAGGCTTCTCAGACATTATTGCATTTCATGTACAAACCAACGAACCACTGCATTTGCGCCTACACACTGACCCCTACAGGTCATTCAGTGTACTACAGGCTTCTCAGACATTATTGCATTTCATGTACAAACCAACTAACCACGGCATTTTCGCCTACATGCTGACCCCTACCGGTCAATCAGTATACTACAGGCTTCTCAGATTTTATTCCCCTTCATAAGCAAACAAACAAACTACTGCATTTTCGCTTTTATACTGACTCCTATCTGTCAAATGGTAGCATTAACCCCTTAAGGACACATGACATGTGTGACGTGTAATGATCCCCTTTTATTCCAGAAGTTTGGTCCTTAAGGGGTTAAAGGGTATTTTAACATACAATCAGCATTTCTGACCCCTACTGGTCAACAGCAAAACTGCCTTCACATGTCATATACAATTTACCAGCCAATATAAATTACACATAAGATTGTTTTAAACATAACTATAGACCATAAATTAAACTCCAGCACGGGCTCAACTTCAGGTTTAATTCACAATAATTTACATTTCACATCAAGACCAACAGTGGTTCTATCAACACTGCCACCTACAGGTCTGTCAAGTACATTGACAATTTTCATGGGGTTTTACAAACACCAAAACACTGACACCTATAGGTCAACAGACAAACAACATTTCACATACCAATCAGTATCCAACTACACTGCCACCTATAGGGCACTTGGCAGATCTCCAGTGCACTTGCATTTTGCAACACCATGTTCACTGACCCCTACCATTCAATAAGACATACAACAATTCACATAGCAAGCACTATGTCAACATCTGGTATAAATACATATATTATTACACAGTAGCAGACTCATCTGTATATATGTAACTGGTAATATAGTTCACATACATTTTTCACAGCACGCTGCTCCCGCAACAGACTTCCCCTAGCAAGGGGACATACAACATACAAGGTGGGGACAGACCACATTTTCACTTGTACATACGGCACTTAATGGGTTAAGATTGATACATATTTAACCAGTATGGCTACGATGTTTAATATTTACACATCACATCACTTTACTTTTCACATATACTGTACGTATTAAGATAAGCTTGGTCTATGCCATATTTCCTTATGCCATACGGTTTTATCCATTCAGGTTACAGTTACTACTAAAAAACCTATACGGATTGTCAGGTTCAATACCATACTACCAGGTACATACACCTGCTCACGTAGTTATCCATCTCTTACCTTCCCTGGAATAGTAATAGTGTACTGGCAATTAGGGTTCTAGGGCCCAATAGGTATTACCCCCTTGTTTCTCTGCATTATGCTTCGGTTAGTGGTCCTGCGAGGCCAACACCCCGCCTCACACTCGGAGGCATACACCCCTCAGGCCACTCGTGAGCTAGTCGCCTCGCATTGTATCATAGAGAGGACCTCACCTGTCACTCCCCTTCCTATTTTCTGGTTACTGTCACCGAGAGGCCAACATCCTGCCACAACGTTCGGTGGCCACACAAAATCCCCTCGCGCCAAGCATAGATAGAGCCTCTCAAGCCACTTGGCAACTAGCAGGGCCTCACCAGTCACCAAAAAACACCAAGTCTAATCGTTTCGCCTTACGGCTTAGCTAGCAAGCCAGTACAAGAACCCTGGGTACAAATAATAATTGCAATCTTTATTGTTATTTAAGTATTTCTCAAAAAGATGGTGAAGAATCACCTCTTCCTAGCACCCCCGCTAGAATTGATACACCTTCAAGCAGAGGAGATGTTGCTAGTCCAGCAGCAATCAGATCCTGGACGATCCCACACATTACCACCGACCTAAGGAGGTGACAAATCCCCTACCCTGCTACAGCAAGGAAAGCAGTTATTCAAACTCCTCCATACATCAACGGACAACACGGAGGCAGGGGAAGGCCCAGCTACATCAACTCAGGTGACACCCAGGCTATGCTAGCTTCACTCATAAACTCATGAGCCAAAAAATTTATGACAGACTGGCAATCTCGAGTTGGTCACCACAGCCCTCACAAGGCTGGGCCTCACGCTACTGTACAACCAGCACCAACCGAAACTCGGTTACCTGGTACAATCAATTCTTATGACACACAAGATGTTAAACCTGCACGTATGATCCCAGCACATTGGGGAAGCAAGGCATATATATGTATGATGATGTATCTGTGATGGTCAGATCCAGGGATTCCAGGTAAATCGGGAACTGACCATCCCTTGGTTGGGTTGGCATTTGGAATATGTGGAGATGTTTATTTGTGCAGGTACCCATACAGAAGGGATTTTGTCCCAAACAAATGGACGAGCACTCTCAGGCTCCAGGTACCAGCACCTCTGAACTACCAGAGACCACTGATATGAGTAGTTGCATTGCATACAGACTGTTGCATATATGTTCAAATAGTTCAGGGCACATGACAAACCATGTGTCCCAATACAACTTACAAATAACGTATTCACCATCTGTACACACCAATGCATTTTCAACACTACTGACTCATCACCCTTCCAGACTGGTAGTAGATTTACTAAAGCTCTGGAGCTTCAAAGGGCTCTCATACAGGTATCATAAACACACCTTCAAGGAATATAGCATGCACTCACTTACAGTCAGCACAACAAAACCATTGGCTGTAAACACACTTGTAAGAATATTAAATAGTTAACTTGTTTATATGTATTTTATGCTTTTATAAGGTTTATAACATGATTATCGCTGACTGAAGGAATATTGAATACTTAAACGACATAATATGCTGACTGTGACAGACTAAGGTATTTCTTCTATAGGATGTAAGACAATGCTAAAATTTCAGGATGTCTTGCCCATTCCGATTTCAGGATATTCTTTTCCAGACGTATGCAAAAGCTTATCTTTCCATTGTCAGAATAACGTAATATAAGGAAGTAATAAATCTTATAGTCTGTACTGTATTTGCATATACCATGGCTAATGTAAGCAAACTATGTATAAAAGCCAGCTCTGGAATACACTCATTTGAGAGTCTTGTAAAGCTGTTGTCCGTGTGTTATTGCTTACAAATGATTCTCCATCAACGTTGATTATGGTGACCGAGGGATCGAGAACCGAGGGGATTAGAGTCCATTACAACATTAACCCTTTCAGCTTGGTGTCTAGAAGTGGGATAGATAGAAGTTGGATCAGCAAAACCATTGCGGTGAGTAGCCTTTTTGTGTCTTATTTGACGCTGATTGTCTATGACCCCCGTTTGGTTCAGTAAGACTGTATCCAGTAGATAGGAAAGGTGTAAGGACTCTAGTTATATTGAGACTATAAGAGGTCTCCGGTTTATTAGACATTTGGTCTAAATATATATAGGGTTTTGGTAACCCAGGTTAGTATCTAAGATAGATACAGGTTTTTGAGACCATAAGAGGTCTCCGGTTTATTATAGGGTTTTGGTAACCCAGGTTAGTATCTAAGATAGATACAGGGTATCTCAGGTAGATACAGGTTTTTGAGACCATAAGAGGTCTCCGGTTTATTAAGTCTATAGGTGTTCTGAGCAGCACGGTTTGTAGATCTATAAGTATAACCCAAACTTCTCTTTCTCCCGGTCACCTTTGTTTGTCTTAAGTGTTCTTTGTGGGTGATTGTTTGTCTATATTGGGGACACACTTTGGTAAGTTAGTAGTGTCCCCACTCTGAGTCAGCAGTATGGGAAATGTGAGTTCATGTCCTGAGTGACCAATATATGTACATGTATATGTGTGTGTATGTATATATGTGTATATGTATGTATATATGTGTGTGTATATGTATATGTGTATATATAAGATAGCAGTACTTTTAAACAAATGGAGGTTTTAAAAATACATAGGGATTAAGGAGAGAACGCAGGTAACTTGTTTTTCTTTGGTTTTTACCATATATTGGGGCTGATGTGTACTGTAGTCCTTGCTGCTGTCCAGTAGTGATGGGAGTGAGCGCAGGACTTATCTTTCTGCAAGATAGCAGTACTGTATATTAGAAAAGAAATGACTCATAGGTTGTACCTGATAGACCTACTTAAATCTTTTTGCTTTATTCTTTCTGTCGCATAGAAGTATAAGTTTATTACTCTGTTTTATTGTAAGTTATTTCACATGGGAACTGTGTGCCTGGAATGATTGTTGCTTTAAAAATACTATAAGCCCACTACACTTATTATGAGAGTGGGATAGTGTAAATGTGTTGCATTGTTTGCATGATGAGCTCAGTATATTTTATAACTGAGACAAAAAGTCACTTCATTAGTATTTGAAAGTTAATTCCCCATATGGGATTAATTGTATAGAAACACCAATCAGCACATCTTCCCTGCCCTGTGTGTTTGTTGCAAAGGATCCATACTGTAAATATGACTTATGTTTGAAAATAACAGAGCAACATTTACATTTTCAGCGGTCCAACACATGCTTTATTTTGCACTGTAAACTAACCTTTTTATTGCAACAGGTTCCTTTTAAATGATCCAGTGTAATAACTACTGCTTGTGTCTTCTATGTCTCACATTATGTGTTATTTTAATTGTGGTATATAGCCTGAATCAGACATCATGGACAAAAGGTTTTTACCTGTGTTACTAAGGGCTCTTGGAGACTGACCGGTCTAAAGGTTTGCCATGCCTTTAAAACATGGTATAGTATAAATTTTTAAGTCTCTGAGAGTTCTGAAAGATTCAGGTGAAACCATGTCTGTTTAATCTGGTCCAGATGTTTGTTCAATTTCTATAGGATTTAAGTTGATGCAGCATCATCTCAGATTAGTTAATGGAAGTTTTATACAAATAGTTGAGTTATGAGCGCGCTATATAAATGGATCCTTTCTTTAAATACAATACTATAGTAGATTAAAGTAATGAAGTTAATTAAGAAAATGTATACATAAGAATCCCTAAAATAAATCTAAACTAAAATTGGTATACCTTCCAATAATATGTTCTGAATACAGCTGTTAACTGTTTATTCTGTGTAAATGGTGATTGTGATAATGTGTGATAAGTGTGCAGTTAAACTTGAAAGTGGTTTAATTTATATGTTGCTGTATTGTTTTAAATTATATGTGAATCAGTTTGTCACAGTCTAGTGATACTGATAAGAATGACAGCCAAATAACCTAGCAAATAACTGTTTTATTAGTTGTTGAATACTAGCGTTTTGGCCAAGAATAGTTGGAGATTTGGAGGTGTTAGTTTAAGATTGCTTTTATATTGTGTCTATCTGTGTTTCCTAGGAGGGAGACAGAGTGTGTAGTTGTGTGCCCATAAATGTGATTTCTGTATTGGCATATCTGCTGGGTACCCATTATGTGTTTCTACAAAGATATTGTTTTGTGAGATGACTAATATTACATGGGATGCTGAGTATGAGTTATATGGTTTGAAATGAATTGGTGATTATGAGCTTAGTACTTCAGTAAGATGTGCTAAAATTTGGAACAAGGTGGAAGCTGAAATGTTGGGATTATAGAAGAATAAGCAGTCTATATTCACTGCTTTGGCATATAAGCAGGATGCAAAGGAAGAGATTGGTAATATGATTTTTGTAAAGAAATTTTACAAGTGTTGGAAGGATGAGGCAGGTTTGATGTCTGGAGATGATATAAATCTCTTTAAAATACAGTCATGCCTTGGTAATATGTTGCCACAGTATTATTTGCTTGTGAAACAATTGATTTCAGACTGGGCCAATTTGGATAGCTCAGATTTTCTTACCAAGGTTATAGAAAAGGAAAATGCAGGTTGTTTTGAATTAAGAAAAGATTTAGGAAAGTAAGGTTGCTTATTATGCTCAGGGATTGCCACCTACACAGGCTGAGAGCGAGGATGGGATGGAGCACATAAAGCCCGTGGAAGGGGTGGTCAAAGAGGGGCAAGGGGATGGAGACAGGGAAATCAGGGTTATAGGGGCAGGGGTAACCAAGGAGGAATAGACAGGAACACTTGTTTCAACTGTGGCCAATATGGCCACTGGAGGAATGAGTGTCCACACCCCAGAAAACCCCAAGAAACCCCACACACCCCAACAACCCCACAATTCTCAAAATATGCCCGGTAGGCAAGAACAACACCAGACCCACTCCCAACACCACTGGCCAGCATATCGCTTAGTTCAGGACTTTAGAGCCCTGAATAGTTTAATTGTGCCCATTTCACCCATTGTCCCTGATGTGACATCCCTCATTACAGCCATTCCACATGATGCCACTTGCTTCACTGTCATTGATTTAAGTAATGCATTTTTTCTATACCTATTGATCAAGAGACACAGCTACTTATGGTTTTTACTTTTTGAAGGCTGTCAGTTTACCTGGACACGCTTACCCAAGGCTATGTGGATTCCCCAGCTGTTTATTCGCTGGTACTCCAACATACTCTAAACAACATGGACCATCGGTCATGGTTCCGTCCTTTTTGCAAAATGTTGATGATTTGTTGTTATGTAACCCTAGCTATGAGGCAAGCACTGTGGATACTGTCAGCAACTGTGGGTCACAAGGTTGTTAAACACAAAATGCAATTGTGTAAATCAAAGGTTGAATACTTAGGTTTTGTTCTGGCTTCAGGCACCAGACAATTGAGTCCAAAACGTATTGAGGTCATTCAGAGGATTCCTACACCCACTACTCGGAAGGAGTTGCTCACCTTCCTCGGCATGATTAATTACTGCCACCAATGGATCCCTGAATGCTCCCATTATGACTCAATCCTAAGGGAGGCTGTACGTTCTGACAGCCCTGAAAATGTCTGCTGGTCACCAGACATGCTAGCTGCATATATTGCCCTTACAGTTGTTATTGTGCAAGCCCAGGCTTTAGGACTACTTGTGTATTGTAAACCATTTCATTTGTATGTTTGGGACAAGTGTAAAACCATGGCCGCAGTCTGTGCACAAGAGCAAGGAGGCGGTATGCGTCCCATAGCATTCTTTTCCAAAGTAGTTCAAGTTCCGGTACAGGGTATGCCGGCGTGTCTCAGAGCATTGATAGCATGTGCAATGGCTGTTGAAACTGCTACTACTATCACACTAGGGCATCCTACAATACTTCATGCCAGTCACCAGGTCACTCAGCTGATAACAAATCTCACCACACAACACATGACAGCCCAGCACTTAAGTGGTTATGAGATTCTTTTTTTAAATACCCACAATCTGTCTTTTGGATTAAACAAGGTTTAGAGAAAGATCAAAATGATCTGTTCTCTAAAGAGGGGAGAATAGGCATACTTGAAGAATAGGCATACTTGAAGCAAGCTGCTTTATTTTCATCAGTCAGGCACATAGCAAGCACCATTCAATTCTTCATGAATTCATTTTATATTAGGAATCTCAGGCAGCATGTACAGTCGTTTGTAAGATTGTGTGAACGCTGCTCTTTTTACACACTTACAGATTGATTTTATTCATGTATCCAAAATTGGTAAGAAACAGCAATACTTACTGGTCATAGTTAATCAGTTTAGTAGATGGCATGAGGCCTTTGTGACATCTAGGGAAGATGCTAGTGAAGATTATTGTTACTGAAATTATTCCCAGGTATGGCTGCCCTCTGCAGATTGGCTCTGATAATGGCCCGGTTTTTGCCAGTAAGATTGCCCAGGAACTTGCTAAATTCTTGCAAGTTATCTGGCAGTTTCATATACCCTATCATCCACAGAATACAGGGGTAGTTGAAAGGATGAATAGGACTATTAAGGAAAAGCCCAGAATTTACCCAGGAACATGGGTAAATTGGACAAGATATCTACCAGCTATTTTAGCTGAGATAAGAATGAATCCCCACAAGGTGAATTGTTGATAAAACCGAATGGTATGTATGACAATGTTTCTTCGCAGTTTTCCCTGACCTTCACAGGAACCTACTCATTCATACCAGCCCGGTGACAAGGTGTATATCCGTCAGCTGAACAGGACCAAGAAAGGAGGATACCCTTTTGGACCACCTGCTACTGTGATTGCTGTACCCAGAACCGCTGTCCACAGATTCCCACGACATCTGGATTCACGCATCCCGAGTGAAGCTGTGTCCAAAGAGGGGAACCAAGGAAGACAACACCACTCCTCGCTCGGAAACAGAAGAATTTCTCCTCAGCGAAGCATCATGGTTTTCACACCATATCGTAGATTGAGAGGATCATACGTACCTGAGACCAAGATTATGTTGTGTGCTATGCTTTCTGGAGTTGTTATACTCCCTCTGATATTGTTCCTTGAATGCCATTATGAGTACAAGTCAATGGCAAGTTCTGGAAAAAGACTCTGACATGATGAACAATTCTTCAATACCCCCAGCCCAATTAGGCCTTAGCCCCTCATCTAGCATTCGTCACACACGCCCCCTCAAGAACCTTTCTCCACCACCTTTCTATCAGTATGTAATATGCAATCATTCATTTACTGAACGCATTTGGATGAATTGGACAAATAGTAACCCTTATAAGTACCAGTTACCCATATGAAAAGTGTCTACAGCTAATGAAACCGATGCATTATGTTTGTTTAAAGGTTCACAGAAAATTGTTAGATCTTATAACGCAGAAATGTGCACAGTTAAGGTTGCATATCAATGTAAACAGACAGGCCTTATTACTTTTAATAATGATTATATAACTGGTATCATTAATTGGAAAAAGGGCCAAATGTTAGTCATTATGAACGACACTGCAATTGAGAACTATACACTACCTTATATTTTTACACCTTATTACTGTCCTTTATCCACTACCATAGAACCAAAAGTCAACCACGACACACACACACCTATTCCATCCACATGTGTTAATACAACTGCCTTCTTACAAGCTGTACATGTGTCATTAAAAATCACTACTTCTGTTGTAACATTATGTAACACAGCAAACAAAGGCAGAAAAGGGAATGGTATGACACACTGTTAGGAGGTGCTGGAACCACTATGGGTATACTAAATAGTTATAGATATGGAGACCCTCAAGAATAAGTTAAACACAGCCAGCATGCATATAGGGACTGGTTTTCATGCTACTGCAAACTGGGCTCCAATTGTTGTTAAATCACAGGTTATAGGATTGGATTTAGATAAATCAATGTATAATTATTTAGATAATTTAACTGTTGCAACTATGAAATTCACTACAGGTCTAAGTAACTGGAGTACTTGTGCCATCAGGTATTTATGGATACAACAACAAGGATTGGCATTAGAAAGCACACTAATGATTCCTAAACTAGAGAAGATTAGAGGGATGCTTGACCTCACAGATAATGAATGGTTACTTCTAAAACCCCAATCCACTAAATGCAATAGATGGTTAACTGGTAATGCTTCACATTTTTTCATGCTCATGCTATTTTACATTATATCATACAACATCAAAGGATGTTAAATTAGCTTGTCAATTTAACACATTACCAGTATCAGTTTATGATCTTTTTGCCAAGAATTTAACCTGGTGGGCACCCACATACACAGGGGACTATATTTTTCCCAAAGATAACATACACAGGTAGCCACACATATCCTAAAAGGAGAACTCCTTAAGGTGAGTTCACAAATTCAGAATGATTTAGCCCATCATTGGTACGATGCTTCACTGGTTGGTCCCCTACTGGATCCCAGATAATGAAATCATTCTTCTATCATTTTGTTATTATAGTCCTGATTTTATTGTGTATGATTTTATATAACTGTCACCTTACTTGTACATTGAGGAAGAGAGTACAGAAATGAATCCATAATGCAGAACAGAAACAATTAGAAATTCTCCTCTCTGCCACTGTAGAGTATCAACCCATCTTTAAACTGGGCCTTAGGAATTACCACATGGGAATCGAGGTGAAGAAATTAATGAAAGTCCCGCAGGGAGTGACTAGCACCCCTGAAAATACCATGTGGAAGTTTCTCTGTCCTGGTAAGATTTTATCGATAAGATGAGCAATTGTTTTATTGCTCAAAGAGGGGAATGTAAGAATATTAAATAGTTAACTTGTTTATATGTATTTTATGCTTTTATAAGGTTTATAACATGATTATTGCTGACTGAAGGAATATTGAATACTTAAACGACATAATATGCTGACTGTGACAGACTAAGGTATTTCTTCTATAGGATGTAAGACAATGCTAAAATTTCAGGATGTCTTGCCCATTCCGATTTCAGGATATTCTTTTCCAGACGTATGCAAAAGCTTATCTTTCCATTGTCAGAATAACGTAATATAAGGAAGTAATAAATCTTATAGTCTGTACTGTATTTGCATATACCATGGCTAATGTAAGCAAACTATGTATAAAAGCCAGCTCTGGAATACACTCATTTGAGAGTCTTGTAAAGCTGTTGTCCGTGTGTAATTGCTTACAAATGATTCTCCATCAACGTTGATTATGGTGACCGAGGGATCGAGAACCGAGGGGATTAGAGTCCATTACAACATTAACCCTTTCAACACTCATAGCCAAGATTTGCAGAGGGGTCTTCCAATCTCCACCATTTACAGCATGGCACCAAACACACACATTGGTATTGTCACAAGGAATCTTCCCTTAAACAAAGACTAACCATGGACTTATTGGTAACACACACCTCCGCTACCCCAAGTCTCAACTCCCTCATACCCTCCGAGGATTTTTCTTACTATACAACACCATTGATCTACTTTTACAGCTATCACTCAAGCATGGGTTGAAGCTTGATTAAGTAAGACCAATATCATCAACGCAGTAAACGGCTAACATCTACCCTACACACTGGCACTTACATGGCATAAATTGGGCAATTCTTTCCCCGCTCAACTTTCGAGCTACAGATTAGCCTACTATCGATATTCGCAGATACTCTGTGCTGGTTATGATAACATATCCAGAGGCCTTACAGTCATACACTATCTAGAAGACTTCTTGTTAATCAAAGACAGCATATTTTTCACTAGAAGCCTCACGGCAGCTTAGTCTGGTTGACCACTTGGGCGTCCCAGTACCCCATAAGAAACAGAAGGCCCAGACACTATCTTCACATTACTGGGCATATGACTTGAGTCGGCATCCATACACGCAAGTTACCACAAGACAAATAGGGAACATTCTCAACTACATCAATCACTACCTCCTGCTTAGTACTTACAACTGAAAGGAACTACGATCCCTACCAGGTTCCTTAATTTTGCCATGCTTTCACATCCAGAGTACTTTCCCCTTTTTTCCACACTTCCAACATGACGATCAGAGGAGGTGCCTAGACACCTCAGCAACAGCAGACCTGCACATGGGGGGGGGATTTCTTAACCACTTGGCATGGTAAAAGCATGTTCCTTCCAGGATTGTCTGACACTTCTCCAACCAGATGGTCAGACGCAGCGTATACCACGGGTTTGGCAGCGATCTACCAGGAACAATTGCTTTGGGGCTGTTGGCCATGGCATCCAGGTTTGGAAATTTTTCCACCACTTCAGCCCCTTTGGGAGATCTACCCCATTGTAGCAGCTGCTGTGGCATGGGGTAAATCATGGTCAGGGTCATCAATCCGTTGTTACTCAGACAACTAAGCACATATCATATCATCAACAAACGCCACTACTCATCCATAAGTTCATGATGTTTCTGGGGAACTCACTTGGTTGGCCACTTATCACATTTCACTTTCATGTACCAGACGGGGGTATACATCCCTGCCGACAACTGTCTCATTTATATTCCAGGCATGTTCATCATACGCTTCCTACAGCCGCCCATACAGTCACGTCCACTCTTTCGTTCCAGAGACAAAATCATGGATTAGACATACTCATGCAGCATAGCATGCACTATCCCACCTAGCACTTTCGTCCCATACTTGTAGAACGCATAACACAGCTTTTCACCTGGCTTAAAGAATCTCATTGGAACACGACATAGCTCAACCTGTGTCACAAAATTTCTCCTAAGTTTTGCTTATTTTTGCCACCTTAAACTTAAACTATCTCATACACCATTAATTATATATTTTACAGGCATTCAACAACACATGATAACCTATGGCCAAAACTACCATAAACTTCATGCTATCATACCAGAAAAGAATATACTCAGAGGTTTTCAGGAATCCATTCCCCCACGTTCCTCTCAGAGATTACCAATAGCCATCCAACTGTTCATCCTTATCGGACCTATTAGATCTACAACCATTCAATTATACTACCAAGTCGGCCATTACCAGCCATGCACATTGCCTTTTATGCCTTTCTCAGGCCAGAGAATCCACTACCATCACCACCACTCAGACAGATCATGGTCTTCAACGATCCCACGTACGTAAACACATATATCATTACCTATTGACTCTACCACATTCCGAAATGAGTCAACATGCACCAACAGTAGAGATAACATACTATCCTACCCACAACAAATGGTGCCCACTTTCGGTCCTAGATTCCTACCTTCAAAATCCTTTCAGGAATTAAATACTGTAATGCATTTAAGGAAATGTCTGGTTAATTTGTATATATTTGTTGACTGTATTAAATCTTTGATTATTCATTTTTGCCCTCTTTATTTACAGGCCTACCGTATCGTCGGTATCGGCACACCACAACCGACTTGCTCCCTTTACACTATCCTAAGCTTATGCTGGATCCTTACTCCATATACGGCTATTTTGCCCCTTACACAAGTATTAAGGCAGTTTTGCCTGTATTTGTGGGAGGGGCTTAAATTAATTCACTCCCCTATATAAGGGACACCCCTTACCTGACTCATATCGCTTGAGGTCAGCATCAGAATGACCCTCCCACCCACTCCTCATTTCAACACTTTCTCTTTTCTTTCCATTTACTTTACTTTCTTACTCCTTGGTGGGCCCTCTTTATTTACAGGCCTACCGTATCGTCGGTATCGGCACACCACAACCGACTTGCTCCCTTTACACTATCCTAAGCTTATGCTGGATCCTTACTCCATATACGGCTATTTTGCCCCTTACACAAATATATTTATTCATAGGTATTAATTCTCTGTATATCTTTATGTAATATTTTTACATTATTAGGTCATTTTATTCATTACAGTTTGCAGGACCTGCCTGACAACCCAAAAAAGCCAAGACACCATAAAACCTGTACATGGGGGGGGTACTGTTTTACTCTTTGTTTTAAAACGGTGATATCGTTAGTGTAAGTGAAATTTTTTTGCAATTTTCACACACAAATGGCACTTTCACTGACGATATAATAGTTGTGATACGTTTTACTGTTTTGAAACACTAATATTTATATTCAGCGAAGTCTCCCGAGTATAACAGTACCCCTCATGTACAGGTTTTATGGTGTTTTCAAAGTTACAGAGTCGAATTTAAGGCTTGCGTTTCAGTTTTTCACATTGAAATTCGCCAGATTGGTTACGTTGCATTTGAGATAGTATGGTAGCCCAGGCCAAATCATTCAGCCAGACCTTGTAAACAGAGCCCTGCATTTTAACATAAGTACACAAACATTCACATGCACACACTCCATACAAAAAAAGCCTACATTCACACACAATAGCAGTGCATACACGTACAACACGGAAAGGATGGACAAATGATGGATAATAGCTGTCTAAAGTATTGTCAGAGTTGTATAAAAATTAGGATCTACCATTTAGCCACCCCTGCTCTATAAGGGGCCAATGTGGGATCAGGGCTATGTGTGTTATTTGTAAGCCATGGCTGTTTGTGTTGTGTATTTAAGAGGCAGCTTATTGTGTATGTGGTGAGTCTGAGTGTTGTTTTTGTGGAGAGGTTGTACATGTTAGTGTTTGTGTGATAAACTGTATGTGTTATGTGCACGGGTACGCTGTGTATGTTATGTGGGACATTGTGATCAGATGTCTATGGATACTGTGTGTGTGTGTGTGTGTGTGTGTGTGTGTGTTTTGCAGGTTGCACGTATTGTATTTTGTGAGAAGTACAGAATCTGGAAATTCTTTGGTCACCCATGTGTCTGCAGGGTGTTCCTCCCAAAGCAAGAGCTACAAGTGAAAACCTAATTTGCACTGACTAACATATAAATAAATAACAGAAATGAAAAAGACTTGCTTATGTCCTTGTGTCACAAAAACCTTTCCAGAAAATAAAAAGTAGATTCTTACCATCTTTAATAATTTTTTTTATTTTTTTGCAAATGTATTAGACATGAAGTAATTAAAGGAACACTCCAGAAACATAAAGCACTTTGGCTTGCTTTTTTCCCCCCTCCATGTTATAAAAGTGTATTATACTGAAAACAAGCTGGGTTTTTTTTTTTCCAAAGAAAGCATGCAGAAAAAAAAAATACTCGCATGTTAGATCGGTAAATCTACTAACCGGGGGGGGGGGATCAATGGAGTGTTTCTTTAACCTTTGAACAAAAGTGTCAAGGTCCAATTCCTCATTTGTCCCTTACTAATGGTTGTCCTGAATGTGATTTAAAGGAAATGGAGTTATATTTATTCACACACATATCACACAAAGTTCACATTTTTATCTGTGGACCAATGGCTATTCTTTGGACCCCATAGAAGTTAAAAAGAAAATCTTTTGATATCTATTTTAGTCAATTTAACTTAAAAAAGCTATAAATTGTAATACCACTAGATGGTGCTGTGGTACCATTTACAACATATTACTTAAACTGTTTATGTATAAAGCAGGAACTTTTCAAACCAAAAAAAAATGCTTCTTAAATTAATATCTGTGTTTCATGTTCTTTTAAAATGTTTAGAATAATTTAAAAAATATCATTTTAACTGATGACAAATTGAAACGTTTATCAAGAATCACAGAATACCAAAACCTTTGAAAATGATTTGTTTGTGAAGTTACTTAGAGTTACAAGTAATCAGAATATTGTAGTCATATATGGTGTTTAGGGTTTAACAGAGTTTGGGGGGCTAAATCCCTTGATGTGGGGCTCTTTAGCCATAGATTTCAAGAGCTGGCAGAGGTGACAAGAGGCTATTAGTGTCATTTTTATGTTTTTAATATTTCATCAAGCATTTGCTTCTAAGAATAGACACCCACTATGAAAGAAAAATGTTCAGTAATATAGTGTTCCCCGAGATTGCTTAAGAGGAGGGAGTAGTGCCCCCTAGTGACTGTTGGAAGGGGGCGCTAGGAAACAGAACTTTGCTGCACACCTCTTTAGGTGGTGTGGTGGGATATTGCAGTTAGTGATATTCCACCAGCTGCTAATCTTCTCTGATATTTGGCATTTAGAATGGCCAAAAGTAAAACCTGCAAGGTACTATTTGGTTATTAACCCACAGTATGCTTCAAATCATTCACACATTAGTGTAAGTAAATTATTA